ATATATATATATATGAATATGTATAAATTAGCCAGGTGTGGTGGTGCATGCCTATGGTTCCAGCTACTCAGCAGGTGGAGGTGGGAGGATCCACTTGAGCCTGTGAGGCAGAGGTTGCAGTGAGCTGAGATCATGCCACTGCACTCTAGCCTGGGCAACAGAGCAAGGCCCTGTCCCAAAAAATAAAATAATAAAATAAAATTTAGTTCCCTAATCACACTAGGCACATTTCAGGTGCTCGGTGGCCTCATGTAGCTAGTGGCTACTGTATCATAGCATGCAGGAATAGAATATTTCCGTCGTTGCAGAAAGTCTTATTGGACAGGGCTGGTAGAGGATATTGTGAACATCCTGCAGGGCTCTCTTGTTCTTCTGTTCAGTGTCTCCTCTGAAGATTATATCCTTATATGTATCCCCATAGTTTAGTAGTGCCTGTTCTTGATCTTCAAATAACAAGCAATCTTTATTTTTTTATTTTTTTGAGACAGAATTTCTGTTGCCCAGGCTGGAGTGCGGTGGCACGATCTCGGCTCACTGCAACCTCCACCTCCCAGGTTCAAACAATTCTCCCGCCTCAGCCTCCTGAGTAGTTGGGATTACAGGCGCGTACCACCACGCTTGGCTAATTTTTGTATTTTTAGCAGAAATGGGGTTTCACCGTGTTGGTCAGGCTGGTCTCAAAACTCCTGACCTCATGATCTGCCCGCCTCGGCCTCCCAAACTGCTGGGATTACAAGTGTGAGCCGCTGCGCCTGGCCATAACAAGCATTCTATATTGTATACTCTTGGTTCAGGGAAAAGCACAGATCGGGGGAGCTTATTCCTGGAATGCTAATCCCAGGGCTCATTCTCTGGCTTGTGTACTCCTCCAACATGAAGAAGTCCACTCCAGTGTCCTTGAGAGTCTAGTTTATTGCTTCTCATCCAGGTCAAGCTTGTCCCCCAGGGGACATTTGGCAAAATCTGGAATCATTCTTGGTTGTTACAACTGGTGGGAGCCCTACTGGTAGGTAGAGGACAGGGATTCTGCTTGAGGAGTATTTCGTTGACCTTGTGTAGGATTCACGTGCTTGTTAAGGTTAGCCAAAGGTCCTGAATTTGAAGTTTATGAAGATAGTTATTATTTTAGGCAAGGGAGATTTAGAAGCAAATTTTTATGTTAAAAAAAATAGAGCTTAACAATCTAATAAATGATTGAAAGATTTGAATCACCATTTCTCCAAAGAAGATTTAGAATGGCCAATAGACACATAAAAAGATGTTCCACTTCATCACTCATTATGGAAATAAAAATCAAAACCACATGGAGACACCACTTTATGCCCACCAGAAAAGCTGTAATCAAGTTGAACAATGACAGGTGTTGATGAGAATGTGGAGAAACTTAAACCCTCAGGTTGCTGGTGGGAGTAAAAGTGATGCAGCCACTTTGGAAGATAATTAGGCAGTTTCTTAAAAGTTTAAACACAAACTTAGCATACAACCCAGCGCTTCCACCCCTAGGAATCTACCCAAGGGAAATTAAAGCATGAGTGGAAACAACCCAAATGTCCATCAGTAGTAGTGGAATACCACTCAGCAAGGAAAAACAACTTGGATGAATCTCAGAAATAGTATACTGAGTGAAAGAAGGTAGACGAAGCACTATACGTGTATGATTTCATTTATGAATGTGCAGAAAAGGCAAATCTATACCAGCAAATAGCAGGTCAGTGGTTGTGGGCAGGGCACGGAGGGATTGGGAGAAGTTAGGAGAGGGGATTGACTACAGACAAGCTCAAGAAAAATTTTAGGGGTGGAGATGTTCTAAAACTGGATTGTGGTAATGGTTGCACAGCTCTTTAAATCTGTGAAAAACCATTATATACCTAATATCTACATATCAATCATCTTATACAAAGCAGTTTCCTCCCTTGGAGTAATAATGTAATGATCATTCCTTTTTTTTTTTTTTTTTTTCTTTGAGACCAGCTGTGTTTCCCAGGCTGGAGTGCGATGGCGCCATCTTGGCTCACTGCAACCTCCGCCTCTCAGGTTCAAGCAATTCTTGTGCTTTAGCCCCACAAGTAGCTGGAACTAGAGGCGCCCACCACCTCGCCTGGCTAATTTTTTGTATTTTTAGTAGAGACGGAGTTTCGCCATGTTGGCCAGGCTGGTCTTGAACTCCTGACCTGAAGTGATCTGCTTGCCTCGGCCTCCAAAAGTGCTGGGATTACAGGCGTGAGCACCATACCTGGCCTCGTAATGATAATTCTTAAAGGCTCGGGGATTGTATTAAGGAAAATACTAATGCTTGGTCATCCAGAAAACCCACGTGGGACCCTTGTGTACAAAATAAGCCGTATTGAAAGATGTATTTGAATGTCATTCTTCATGTCCACATAGATGCTGGTCTGTCCTTTGAACCATTATGAGAGGTGACTCCAGTGAGGTTCCAAAGTCTGGTTTATCATCCCACACACACACCACCCCCTCCCCACTGCCTGCCTTTTTTGCCCAGGCTGGAGTGCAGTGGCACCATCTTGGCTCACTGCAGCCTCCACCTCCCGGGTTCAAGCAGTTCTCCTGCCTCAGCCCACTCAAGTAGCTGGATTACAGGCGTGCACCACCACACCCAGCTACCTTTTGTATTTTTAATATAGCCGTGTTGCCCAGGCTAGTCTCGCACTCCTGACCTCAAGTGATCCACCCGCCTCAGCCTCCCAAAGTGTTGATTGCGAGATTATGCCACTGCACTCCAGCCTGGACAACAGAGCGAGACTCCATCTCAAAAAAAAAAAAAATCTTCCTCCTAGCCCTTGCCATTCCCTTCATACCCTCTCTCTACTGGCTGTAGTATGCTGAGAGAGCAAGGGGTGCCTTCTGAAGCACACTTTTTTTAATCTTTCAATACAGGCAGCAAGCTGCCCCTTGGGGGACTGTATTCAAGTCAAGGTGTCACAAATAATAAGACTGTGCTTGCATTGGGGGATGGTAGTGGGGTTGCTTACTATTATCTGTGCTTTCTTACCTAATAGGCTCTGGATTACTGCCACAGCAAGGGAATCATGCACAGGGATGTGAAACCTCACAATGTCATGATAGATCACCAACAGAAAAAGGTACCATTACAGCCAGGCAGCAACAAGCTTGATTAAAAGGCTTAGAGCAGACCAGAAAGCTGTCCAGTGCCACGAAGGTTTCTGTAGACCCATGGTGGGTTTTTGGGCAAACTTTTGTTACTGTGATTTTTCCCATCTCCATTGTCGATTTCTACTTTGTAAAGCGTAGTACACAAGGAAAGTAGACGGTTTAAGTATAGTGGCTAACTATAGTCACTTGTTTTATTTTGGTCATAGTTTTCTGAAGGGCCTCAGAAAGAAATTACAGCTGGTGATTTCTGCTTCATTTCTTGATGACCTGCAGACCAATCTGCCTGGCCTTAAAAGAACACTTAGGTCCCCCCTATTTTTGATATCCATCTCTGTTGGCCCTAATCAGTGAGTAAATGGATCATCTAGTAGTAGACGAATAAATCAATGGAGCAGTGCTTCAGTCCTGGAGTGGGATGTGTCCCCCCAGCCCTTTCACTGACGCCTGGAGCTTATAACGAAAAGCTATGAATAATGGGAGAATGTGTTACCAAATGTAACTGCCTACAGTTTCTGAATGTAGGCGGAAAAAAAGGTTGAGCTTTGTTGATCTAGAGAGAGGAATGAACCAGGATAATTTAAAATTTTTTCAAAAAGCATTTCAAGTGCTCTACTCTAAAAATGACCTCTTGCACAGTTGCTGAAAATGTCATCTTTAAGCCAGTGCACCTGCTCACATTTTTTGTGTGGACAAATGATTGTTACCTAATGTGATGTGGCCTTGTTCTAAGGCATAGGCCCCTAGAAACACTCCTTTCACATGTTTTTTTCTGTCCTGTTTGTAGCTGCGACTGATAGATTGGGGTCTCGCAGAATTCTATCATCCTGCTCAGGAGTACAATGTTCGTGTAGCCTCAAGGTACTTCAAGGGACCGGAGCTCCTCGTGGACTATCAGGTAAACTTGTTTAGCAGAGCTACTCTGGGCTATTTATACTTGCTTAGGGCTTTTTGTGATTTGCTGTTTATCTAGTCAGTTTGGATACACTCAAAACCCAGCCATTATTTCACCCTAAAATGCTAATTTTAGTTTTTTCTTAGCTAGTTTTTTGGGGGACAGAGAAGTTTTTAAATCTAAAATATCTGTAAAGATTAAATGAAGACTAGAAATTCAGATCAGAACATTTCTAGGAGCCAGGAAGTTAAAAAAAATTTTTTTAAATAATCTACGGCCATACCACCCTGAACATGCCCAATCTCATCTAAAAAAGAAATTTATATCAGAAAAATGGATTTCTACTACCCTTGGCTGATGGGTTGTCCTTATTGCCTTAGATGTATGATTATAGCTTGGACATGTGGAGTTTGGGCTGTATGTTAGCAAGCATGATCTTTCGAAGGGAACCCTTCTTCCATGGACAGGACAACTATGACCAGGTGAGCAAACACAATCTGGTTCTTACTTATTTGGGGGTGAATGCCAAGAAAATAGCATCCGTAGATAGGAATACTATCCTTGAGCCACTAAATGTCACTCAGTGTCTGCATATGAGCTTTTCTTCAAGATAAAGATTGCACAGAATTTTGTGTTTGCCAGGTCGGCAGAAGTAGAGGCAGATAATGCTATCTGTGCCAACCTTCCAAAGTGAATGTGAAGAAGTCAGGCACCTCCTTGTCTAATAAAACTAGATTTTAGCCATTAGATTGTGATGCCCTGTACTTGTCCATCTGTAGAAGATTATTGTCATAAGTTGTGTTATTTTAAAGGCAGTTTGGAAATTTGCATTCATGTGAACTTCTTGTCCTTGGGTCTGTCTGCCTGCCCTGGACTCGGGTTTGTACCTGGTCCCTAGAGGGTTAGTGGTGTGGAAGTCTTCTGATTCTTTGGTAAAACGTCCTCATGGGCTCACAGTATGTTCTGAGCTCAGTGATTTGGTCAGTTTGTTTTGTGTTTCAGCTTGTTCGCATTGCCAAGGTTCTGGGTACAGAAGAACTGTATGGGTATCTGAAGAAGTATCACATAGACCTAGATCCACACTTCAACGATATCCTGGGACAGTAAGTAAGAGAAAGAGTGCTTTACCTTACCCCGTTTCAGAAGTGGAAAGGTTAGCCAAAATCACTTTCTTTTCCTGTTCTAATTACAGTAAAATGGAAATAGCCGTCTTTTTTCCTATGCATATTTTCTTTTAACTTACTGAGATATTTGGGCTTTATGTCTTTTAATCATTTTACTTCTCTGAGAGATAACCTATTAGTAGAAAAGGTAAAACAAAAATCATAATGTTACAGAAAAAAGTTTTCTGGTACAGCATAAGCTTCTTTTTAATGGCCAAACTTGGAGAGCGATGATTCTTTCAATAAGAGACTTAGTTTTTTTAATTTTATTTTATTTTACTTTATTTTATTTACTTCATACCTCTTCAAGGTGGAGAGACTTACAATTTCTTCTTGTTCTCCGTAATGGTTTTTCTATACAATAGCAAATTTTAAAATACATTGAGTTTTCAGGTACAGTGCAATAATGTTGAGAAGTAAACAGTTTGTTAACAGTTTTCAAACGGTATTTTGTGTAACCTCGCTGTTCCTGAGGCTAGCCCTGGGAAATATATCTGCTGACCGATAAAAATTACCCACTGTCCTGCATGCCACCCAGAATTGACTAAAAGCCTACCGCATAAAAAATAATCTAGAAAGGTTCCACATATTCTAAATCAGATATTCAGATATAGAAGTTTTACCTAGTTGTGTTTATCTAATCACAGAGCACCATTGTGTTTCAGGATGCTATGCTGTAACTATGGGGCAGTAAGGCAGGCACCAGTTAGAGATTTAACAAGCTTGTAATCAGTACATTATTCTAAGATTTTGTTGGCTTTAGCCCTAGTAGATAAGGATTCTTGTTGAATTTAGTCTCTGATTACTGATGTTTCATTTTTCTTCTCAGACATTCACGGAAACGCTGGGAAAACTTTATCCATAGTGAGAACAGACACCTTGTCAGCCCTGAGGCCCTAGATCTTCTGGACAAACTTCTGCGATATGACCATCAACAGAGACTGACTGCCAAAGAGGCCATGGAGCACCCATACTTCTGTGAGTCTCCAGGCACTGTGTTCAGGGAGTCATTCGTTCAAGAGAACAAATCTTCCACTCTTTATCTTTGAGACCAGTCAGGAGAATTCTAGGGTATTTGGATTGGATTATTCCAGAATTTGACCTCATTTATTGTAGATGATTGAAACAACTTTGTAGATCCGTTTCTTGATCACCAAAGGTGTTTGCTTATTCTCTGAATGTATCTCCCTTGAATTCAGGCTGTTTACTCCCTGTTACCCTGAGTTAATGGATCACAAGTTTCTAAAATTTGTTTTCAAGCGTATATATATTTGTGTGGAAACCTAATTGAAGATTATTTCTCCCCTCAGAAAACTAGTAATTAGTTAAAAGTAGTAAGATAACCATTGTATATTTTGAAAGAAGGAGATGAACAGATGGATGGATGAAAGGAATTTGAGGAAAGGTAAATAGGTATGGAGAGACCTCACTGAAATCCTGACTGAACTGCTCACTTAGAAGTGTGTGCGCATTCACTTTGTGTGGTTGCTTATTGTTCTGCGTGTGTATGGTTCTTTCCACTGATAATGTGTGTTTCAAATAAACTTCCTGTTGTTATCAGTCTCCTTCCTGGGGAGCATGGCGGCTGAGAGACTTAACCTCAGTTCGCTTTCTGAATCAAGATGGAAACATTCAACACTTAAAGTCATTGTCTCTGGCTTAACCAATATGCTGTCTTTCCCTCTCCTTTGATTTCCTCTGGAGATGAACTAAATTCTTGCCTGAAGAATGTGTCACTGTGGTCTTGAGCCTGTGGCCCGTATGCATAAGGGAGACCACAAATGGAAAAGCCTTCAGCCTTCTAGACCTCAGCCCCAGGGAACTCAGATGTCCCCACTCCAGTGTCTGGGACAGAAAGCTGGTTTTACCCGAGTTAGATCAAATTAGGAATACTGATGTTTATGACATGTCATTAATGATCTTTCTGCTTTTCTGAATATATGTCATACTTCAATTTAAAAAATTTCAAACTGCGGTTGCTTAAAATGGATAGGTCTTCTAATGGCTCTTTTTACTCGCCTTTCCTTTGAAGTGCTTATTATTCTACATGCTTTGAAGAAATTAGGGATTAGAGATGATATTAGTATTGAAAGAAAATAAAAATAGTAGAAATTTTGAACAGTGGGAAATTAGGGTTCCTATGCCTCTTAGCAGTTGAGTCTGTACTCTGAGAAAGTATAAGAGTTGACTGCAATAACGATTCCCCTGATCATTTCTCAGTGTTGGTTTTTATGTGGCTGGAATTCCGTGATTTCCGTCTCCCCTGTTGCCCCCCTGACCCTGGCTTGCCCATCAGTCTGTCTGTCTCTCAGTTGAAAGGGTGGGTTTGCCATGGGCTTCTCTCAGCATTCACCACCCCGATTGCCTGACTTTCCTCCTGCTTTCTTGCAGACCCTGTGGTGAAGGAGCAGTCCCAGCCTTGTGCAGACAATGCTGTGCTTTCCAGTGGTCTCACGGCAGCACGATGAAGACTGGAAAGCGACGGGTAATGCGGCATTGATGCTTGCCAATAAAACCAACCAACCAAACACAAACCTTGAAGGAAAACTACAGTGTGATAAAAAGAAATTCTTATCATTCCTTCTAAATGCAAAGAAGAGTAAAGACCTAAAAGTCTGTCAAAAAGCAAGAAAGAAACTCCCCAGTGCTAGTCTCCAGGGAGCTGTCACTGTGGCAGCATGGGGATGCACCTAGTTCAGGATCTGAAGGAGCTCTGCCTTTGGAATGCATGGGAGATAGAGACTCGGAGTTGTTGTACATTTACCTTTGTTTAACAGGGCACCACTGTTGAATTAACCCATTCAGTCAACAAGCTCTGAATGTCTGACTTCCTATCTATTCCATGGTGGTCTGGGTTTCCTTTGGTGAAATTCAGGCTCAAGTCTTAGCGAAATGTCAGCAGTCTATACTGACACACCAGCCTCATTTACAAAAAGGAGATATTAAAAACAGTGACAGTATTTTTTTTAAGCTCTTTACAAATCCATGTTTTATGTATTTTTTTATGACATGAGCTCTCCAGGAAATGTACCTCATCCCTGCAGTTTTCCTCCAAGTGGATTCATTTGGGAGCAAACTGCAGTCACTTTCACAAGAGCCCTCTTTGATGTCAGGAGGGATCACGAAACCTTACAATGCCATGAACTGGTCCGTGGGTATCATCAAAAGTTCCATGCTAAGTGCATAACTTGGAGCTCACTATAACCTTTGTTGATTTGCCTTACCATAAAATCTTGTTGCTATTTTTTTGTTGCTTTTTCTGTTTTTTTTCTTTTTTTTTTTTTTGGCAGCCTTGTAAGAGAACGTCACCATTTCCCAGCACATCCCTATGTGTGCGCCTATTTTAATACACCTCTCTGAAACAGAGACCTTTTTGTTCACAACCATAACTAAAGCTGGAAAGTCAGTCTTCAGGCAAGGCGAGGGAGGAAAACATCCCATTAGAATTTTTTCAGGAAAGACCGAAAAAGATATCCCTCTCCCACCTCCTTTTATCCCCATGAGATACAGTTTCCCACTGTAATATGCATTTGTGAGTTCTGATATGTGATTCATTTATGTGATGGCAAAGATAAGTCTGTCTTGCATGCAGGTACTAGAGTTGTCTGGGCAGGGTCATCTGAAACTCAAGCAACTGAGAGGAATATACAAGGGGCTTGGGGAAGAAAACAGTGCTCCTGGAGCAAGTGTTGGATCCATTGTGCAAACCTTCATGTTAGCAGAGAAAGCTAGAGTTTGTTTAAACAAAAATAGGGCTGATTTCATTTGGGGGACTCAGCAGCAACATGGTTTGTAGGCAGTCCCCTCATCCCAGCTGCAGGGCCATGCCACAGCTCTGGGGACTTCACACACCTAGGCTAGAACTAGAGGTGTCTACCACATCACCCTTTAGGATTTCTTTATTAACTATTTAATAATGCCATACATTTTTATAAGGTTAGATTGTTTGTTTGAAACATTTGTTTACATTCCATATTCCAATAAAATCTTATTGGTATTGGTAGCAGGTCCTATCTCTAAATGTAGATTCTATTTTTGTCGTTTGGTCTGTGGGAACTTAAAATACAAATGAATCTCTTCTCTTATTATAGAGTTGAGTTTATAGAGTAAAAAATAAAAAATAAGATCCCAAAGCCAAGAAATGCATTCAGTTAAGGTTCTCATACCAATGCTGCCTGCTTGCATTGCACATGCTGTATACTAATGTAAACATTTGTTCTACCTGAAAATCAAAAGCAAGATGTGAGCTCTCGGCTAAACCTATATTGATATGTCAGGCAGCAAAACTCAGTGTTTTGGATTATCAAAAGCCTTCTAATGTGCCCTTGTAGGCAATCCTGAAGCATTGGTTATCATCAGGGAGATGTGCCACTGCGTGTCTTTCCTGCTCCCCCTCCAATCTCCTTTATCACCCATTCCTCAGCCCCCCCCCTTTTTTTTTTAAGTTGCCTGTCTGGACCAGGCAAGTGGAGCCTGCTGGAGGGTCTTGGTGAAGCGGTAACCCCATTCCTTTCCCGTGGGTCCCCCAAAGGTAATAAAAGTACCTGGAGGAGAAGAGTCAGGTGATTGACCTCTGCCTGTCTCTCTGACGGTGATGGAGGTGCAGACACCACCTGCCTGCCTTGTCCTGGGGTTTTGTAACTGCAACTTTGACACAGGCATTCTTCTTTTAAGCACACAGCTTGCTTTTCCAGCACCTGGACTTTTACCTCTCTTCATGCCTTAGACTTAGACCATAACTGGGCTTGAAATGCTCACCCCTTCCTGGGTCTGGTCTTGGCACCTGCGCCATTCTTTTCCAAACTGAAGTGAGTCCAGTTTCAGACCGTCTCTTTTCCTGCCTCCAAAAACCATTTTTGTTTCCAAACCTAGCTTCCCCAAAAATTTAAGACTATTTACCTAGATTCGGAGATGGTCTTGGAGAGTTCCAAAAGGGGTGTGTGTGTGTCTGTGTGTGTGTCTGTGTGTCTAATATTTAGACTAAACCATGGTAAATGTACGCACCCAGTATCTTTTTCAGTTAGCATATTCTTTCTTAAACTCATCTCAGTACTTTTCATTTGTTTGCTTCATTATCTTAAACAGGTTAAAAGTGCCTATGATAAGGACTTAATTATTTCCTAAAGAAAAGCAAAAAATGTGGGGAACAGGGTAGTGTTATACTATCATCTCAGGTACTGCCTATGTTCAAGAACATAGACCTGGTATGGTGAGAACAAAAGGTTCCTATGCCAAATCCAGATGGCTATATCATTTGTTGGCTACAAGTGAGCCTAACTAACTGCAAGGTTTGCTTCTGCTGAGAAATCCCATGGTGAGAGTAGAACTCATGAAGTGCTGAGTCACATTTGCACCTCTGGTGTGGTGGCATTTCACTCTCCCCTGGATGCTGTCAGCTGGCCTTGCTTTCGTCCTATCCCTGTAGGCAGGGTAGGTGGCTGGGTAGGAGAAGCTATTGAGTGTATGATGCAGACCAAGCTTTCCTGGGCCTTCTCGTCAACTAGAGAAGTGCTGATGTCATTCGTTGAGGCACTTAAACACCAGTCACTCAGCCGGGCCTCCTCCCAGACATTCTGTAACATGTCAGCACTCACAAGGTTTAAAGCAAATGTGTTCCCTTGCAGAGAGGAAGGTGCTCTCAGACTGACAGATTAGAGGAGACAGACAAACTCGTAATCGTTGGGGACTTGAAGAGAGTGGCTAGGGGAGGGGCTGTTAAAAGGGACCAATAAGAAAAACCATCTAAAGGTAGCTCTTGAGGAGGAAATGTACTTCTTGAGGGGATAAATCAGAGGGTACCAAGTTTATGTTCTGGAATGCACCCTGGGGAGGGCGCTGCCCGCTGGATTGGTCCCAGTGGACTGAAAGGTGGTGCTCTCGAGTCAGGTGCTGAGTCCCGGAGAGAGCTGAGTGCTGCGGGGCTCATGGTCTGTGCCTACTCAGGGAAATGACTTAGGTTCTCCCAGGTGCTCTGTTGATAAGGATGGAAGCAGAACTACTTTGAGACACATGCAACAATTGGAAGAGTTTTTTTATATGAACTGAAGCAGATCTAAGAGAGCCCAGTTAACAGTTTCCTTTAATGCCAGTTCAGATTAAATGATTACTTTAGGAACCTGTGTTAACTGTGTGAGCACCCACAGGAACAAGCAAACTTATTTCCTACAAATAAACGAGGGGATAATAACTGATCAGAGTCACAGTTGTTTCAATATAAACCCTTCCGAAAGCAAAAGCAGGGACCACATGAGCACACAAGAAGCCAAAGTTTGTCAGTGACCTTAATAAATTAAGACTGAGTAACATCCTGCCTTTAGAAAAAAATAACCCCACGGTGGAGACCAGGGCAGGGGAGGTGGCAGAGAAGCATCGGGCCAGATCAACCGCTAATAACATGCTTCTAAGCTATGTGGATGTGTAAATGAAAACACCCCCAAATAGGTATTGTAGAGGCTGGAAAAAGATGTGATGGGATTATACAGGTGTTGCATATTTTTGTGTTGAGACTCAACAATGTGCTACAAATGTGATACTTAACCCTGAACTGCATGTATTGGGGATTGTTTTTTAAAAAGAAAAAAAAAACTTTGAATCAATAAATTAACAGTTTTTCACTTGCTGGCTCTTCTTGCTGTAAATGGTGACTAAGAGGTTGGGACAGAAATCTTGACAACTAGTGGAAAACTTGGATAATCTTCAAGGACCATGGAGCCTTCTGTTTCCTTCTGTTTGCAGAAAAGCAACACTGCCTGGGTTATGATCCTTTACAAGTGACTACTTCAGACACAATTGGCCACCTCTTTGTATCACTGGATGACTGATGTATGATTTATGTGCTGCTGCCCTTAGAGGGAAGAAAAATGCCATGTTAAATCCTGTTTTCTTAAATAAAAATGTTGACAATAACCAGCTTTCCCAAGTGGGAGACAAACTATTGCTATGAGGACCTTAACTTGTATTTCCTGTCTCTTTGGGGAGTGGGGAGGCATAAACGTTGAACTCCAAAGATGTGTGTTACACCTTGATATGAAAACTTTCCTTTGGCAGAAATGGGGCTAGAGTGGTGTCCTGGTGGGAGTGCTCCGTTTTTATGTACTTGCTTCTGAGTCGCGCCACTCAGACACCTGCTTCTTGGGATTGACTGTTTTAGTGCATGACTTTAACCTTGTGGCCCGGTGTTCTGCATATGTGAAACACTCTCCCTAGCCCCATTCCTTGCAGCACAACGCTATTATTTGGCAGGTGGTGGTGTCTTTAATTAGTGTAGTTTCTTCTCACTGATCCTCTGAAGTGGAGTGCTTGGAATCAGCTGAAGTGTTTAAAGGCAAATATAGTCATTTCTTTCTTAACCTTATGCACCACGCAGCCCTTCTCAAATACTACGCAGTGGAACCCTTCCTTTACCCAAAGAAAGTTTTCATGAAATAATTTTGTGTGTGTGACAGCTTCCCAGGTGTATAGTCCTTTCTCAGTACTGTAGTGCTGTTCTGGGAGGCACTGCTTCTAGAATTCCGCTGCCGGCATCTCACCACCCACTTGCTCTGCTGGACCTGGAAGGAGAAATGAGGTTTTCAGGCCATGCCAGGCAGCTAGCTGTTTCCAGGGGAGAGTTAAAAATATTTGAGCTCACTTACTGCTCTTTGTTTATTAGTGGATTCAGCCCTTTTTCTGAGTAAATACAGACCCCATCTTAGTCCTAAGACACCTCAGATAATCAGGTCAGGTCTGAGGGGGACCTAGAGCTGACTGCTGAATTTGTAGCTTGACTGGCACAGGATGGTCAAGAGTCTCCGGGCCTTCTCTATCAGCGCCCTGGACCCGAGGGATGGGGTAGGGTAGAAGAGTGGGTCACAACACACGTGGTGCCCAGAGCACCCTTCCTGTGACAGAAGGCCATACTAGAGACCATCTCTGTCATGATAATCAGAAGAGGAAGGCAGAGGGTACTGTTGGAAACCTGAACTCAGCGAGTTCTCACAGGGTTCTCCACCAAGTGGTATGGGAAGGCCGAGCTTGCATTCTAGTGCAGGCCCTCCCGCACATGGAGGCCTCCCCTCGCCCGCTCAGGTTGATTAATGACGTCTTTCCCTCCTCCCGTCTCTTTCCCCAGGTCTGTTGCGGTTCTCCCACTTTTCCATAAGCAGAACAAGAACCAAATCAAACGTCTTAACGCGTATAGAGAGATCACGTTCCGTGAGCAGACACAAAACGGTGGCAGGTTTGGCGAGCACGAACTAGACCAAGCGAAGGGCAGCCCACCACCGTATATCAAACCTCACTTCCGAATGTAAAAGGCTCACTTGCCTTTGGCTTCCTGTTGACTTCTTCCCGACCCAGAAAGCATGGGGAATGTGAAGGGTATGCAGAATGTTGTTGGTTACTGTTGCTCCCAGAGCCCCTCAGCTCGTCCCGTGGCCGCCTGTTTTTGCAGCAAACCACGCTAACTAGCTGACCACAGACTCCACAGTGGGGGGACGGGGGCAGTATGTGGCATGGCGGCAGTTACATATTATTATTTTAAAAGTATATATTATTGAATAAAAGGTTTTAAAAGAAACGTATGGAGAGTTTTCAGTATGGAAAGGGTCATGAACTGAGACTTGTGACTCAGGACGAGACAAAAGTGCATTTGTGCCAGATTCTAACCAGATGAAGCAGGGGAGGTCCCTGGGGCAAGGCGGGCCAGGTTTCATTTTTGTTTTTAGACAGGGTCTTGCTCTGTCACGAGGCTAGAGTGCAGTGGTGCAACAATAGCTCGAGCACTACAGCCTCGGCCTCCTGGCCTCAAGTGATCCTCCTGCTTCAGCCTCCTGAGCAGCTGGGATTACAGGTGGATGCCACCACACCTGACAAGTTTTAAGTTTTTTTGTAGAAACAGGGTCTCGCTATGTGGCCCAGGCTGGTCTCAAACTCTTGACTCAAGTGATCCTCTCTCCTCGTCCCCCTAAAGTGCTGGGACTACATAGAGGTGTGAGCAACCACACTCAGCCAAGGAGGGCCCATTTGTAAGGACTCTCTTCCAGAGGTGAGTGGTAAGAGGTACACAGTGAACCCGTCTTAGGAATGGGGACAACATGGATGGCTGAAGTAGACTCAGCCAGGAAAGCGGGGCCTTGCCTTGGACACATTCCCACTGACCAGCATCCTCCCTGGCCTCCCCTTCAAAGAAGAGTCACCTCCTGAGAATGCAGGAAGATGTCTTGGCCCTTTCTTGGTTGCCCTTTTGCTCCCGTCTCCACATTTCATCCCATCTCAATCCTGTCCCCCGAGCACCCGCTACTGAAGAAAGGCCCCATCTCAGAGGCTTGTTGAGTCTGCTGTCCTGAAGCAGGAGAGGGGTCGGGGTCTCTGATCTGAGGGCTGCTTCTGACCACACAGTTCTGAAGCATCCATGAGCTGGAAGGAAAAGTGGATACTCGGGGAGCTAGAACGGAAGTACTGGTTGTATTTGTTAAACGGGAGAAACCCAGTGCTACAAATGAGACTTCACTGGCTCCCATGGTCCTCAGCTCGAGACAGTGGTGTCAGGGCAGGTGAAAGCAGTGGCCATGACCTTGTCCTGGCTGCTGGTTTGTGTCCTCCCACTGCCTGGGGGACAGCAGAAGCTATGGGCAGATCTAGACACCCAAGCCACTGGATGGCGCACCAGCTAGGTCTCCACAAAAGCAACTTGGTCCACACAACATTCTCTCTCCTCTGCAGCTAGTTCTGGCCCACGGTGGGCACCCGAGTGTGGATGTTCACAGTTTTTTAAGTGACTGTGGAGGAAAGCAAAGAGGCCCCTTTCAGGGCCACCACAGCATCATGGTGTCCTTTGGACCAGCTTCTGTGGCATCTAAGCTGTTGCTCAGGTGTGGGAGCTTGAGACTGCATCCCCTCTGGACACCAGCAGGTGAGGACCCATAGACCACCACCCGTGGGACACCAAGCAGATAGACTTGGTGCTTTCCAGCCCCATCACTGGCCTAATTTTCTCAAGCTGGCTGTCTCGTGGGGCCCTTTGTGACTCAAGACTGTGCAAATTTCTGTGAGTCTCCCAGATCTCTGGGACGGCATCACAATACTTTTATTTTGTTGTACCTTGTACCTTGTTGTACCTAGGAACATGCTTTGTGCGTGCATGTTTATCTCCACAGCACGTATCTGTGCTACTTAGCATGACTTACTGCCATTTGAGGTCTTTTCCGGACATGGAGGGTCTTATTCGAATAGAATCATTTGATTGGCTTGCATCTTGAGATGTCATGTAGAACTTGGAACCATAGCTCCCTCCTCCAATTTCCCCCCTCAACCAAGGCTCTCTTTAACTGCTCCATGTGGAAATCATGTTTCACAAATAATTTTCAGTTTTGTGGGTGATTATGGTGGAGTTGAGAAAGTATGTGGTTGTAGAAAAAAGGGAAAGGAGGTGATTTTTGAGTAGGTTGTTTTGACTTTTGAAAGCAGGGGACATGTCCTAACACTTAATAACACGAAAACCATCTTCAGCTCCTCCTCAATGTGCTTGGAGATTGAGAACATCAGCTCTCATCTCCCAGTGGTCCTGGTTGTGTTCTAAACAATATTGATTGCATTTTCCTGATTACTAAAGTAATATATGTTTGTGGTAAGAAACAACAACAACAACAAAATTCAAATGCTTACAGAGAGGTAAATAACGAAAGCCCCCGCCCCCAGCCACACACACACACACACACACACACACACACACCCCATGCTCACACAAAAGCCTCTTCCTCCCTTAGAGGTAATCACCATTAAATTTTGTGTTTATCTTCCCATTTTTTTCCAATGCACTTACTATTTTAAAATTATAATTTTCATTTTTACATAAATTATAATCAGACTATGCATTCTTATTCTGCAACTTGTATTTCCACTTAGTGCATTCCACCTTACTGCATTAGCATGTATAAATCTACCTCATCCCTTTTCGTGGCTGCATGGTTTACGTGATACACCACAGTTGAATCGATCTGTTATTCATACACTTTGGATTGTTCCTAATGTTTCAGTATTACCAGTATTGCTGCAATAAACAAATTTGCACATACATTTTTGGACAGTATGTATGTGGAATGAAATCTTTAAAAATAATTATGCTATATGATGTTTTTTAGAAAGGGTATTCTTATGATTCTAGAAAGCAGCCTCCCATCCCTTCCCTCACTGGTGCAGGCTGGAGCTGTGATGACTTTGGCCATGGAATTCTTGCAGGCCTCTATCAAGCACGTGGAGCACAGTGTCCGCAGCCTCTCAGCTTTCTAGGGGACTATAGAAATGTTTGCGACCTGAAGAAAGAAAACGTGTTGGCTCTAACCTAAGAAAGTTGAAAGTAAATATTAATAAGTGGAATTAAATGTCTTAATGTACAACCTTGTGAGTGTCACTCATTAAATTCAATATTTGCTTTTAAAAATATTTTTCTCATGATAAATTAGTGAAGAGTCACAGAATTGTCAGATAATTTCAAAAGCAAATTCTAAGGATTCTTCTCAAAAATCACAGAAGAAAAAAACATAAATATGAAAAATTGTTGCATTTTAATGTATTTGAAATGCCATGGGAAAGATTTCATAAGTAAGCACAACGGCAGGGCATGGTGGCTCATGCCTGTAGTCCCAGTACTTTGGGAGGCCGAGGTGGGAGGATCGCCTAAGGCCGGGAGTTTGAGGTTGCAGTGAGCTATGATCCCGCCACCGCACTCCAGCCTGGGTGACAGAGTGAGTTCCTGCTTTAAAAAAAAAAAAAAAAAAACTGGGAGGCTCATACCGGCATACCGGTAGTCCCAGCACTTTGGGAGGCTGAGGCAAGAGGATCACAGGCGTGAGCCACCACGCCCAGCTGACACCATTTCATTTTATGGTTTAAAAAAAAAAAAAAAAAAAAAGCATGCTGAGGACCAGCATGTTTTAAAATAGCTCTGGCTATAAGGGGCCGGGTGGCAGAATGGATGAACAATCTTTTTCAGAATATTATTCTACAGGCTGTTAAAATAATGTGCATCTTAAATGCATTGTGCTAAGCAAAGAAGCCAGATCCATGTAGAACAGATTGGTGGTTGCCAAGGGTTAGGGATGACTACAAAACATAAGTATGAGGTCATTTCGGGGATGATGGAATTGTTCTGTGTCCTAAATGTGGTGGCGGTTATTTGACTTGGTGCCCTTGTCAAAACATTACACCTAAAAAAGAGTACATTTGATTGTATGTACAGTTAAAAGTTCATTTTGAGACAGGGTCTTGCTCTGTTGCCCTGGCTGGAGTGCAGTGGTGTAATCATAGCTCACTGCAGTTCAACCTCCTGGGCTTAAATGATCCTCCCACCTCAGAGTCCTGAGTAGCTGGGACTACAAGCGCACACCACCACGCCTAGCTAATTTTTTAAAAGTTTTTAATGGAGACAAGGGCTTGCTATGTTTCCCAGGCTAGTCTCAAACTCCTGGGCTCAAGCGATCTTCCCGCCTCACCCTCCCAAAATGTTGGGATTACAGGTGTGAGTCGCTGGGTCCAGCCTAAAATTCATTTTTTTAAATAATAGTAATGTGCAGGGCCTCACAGGCTCCCATTTAGACTCCACTCTCAGATGAGCAGGAACCTCATCTGCCCACCATGACTCTTCCTGATAGGCTCAATGGCTATCACTGCTGGGGCTGGGATACAGTTGTCCTTTGCCAGCTAGACACTCCAGTCATTCAGGGCACCCTTCCATCTTTGCTCCCAGCTAAGGGCTACAGCTCCTCACCTCACTGCTATACCTCCGCATCCCCATCCCCATCGCCATCAGAAAAGAGACACGGGGAGTCAACTCTGCCTTCCAGTGTGTGGCAAGCCCGTCGTGTCTCCAGGGCAGATGCTCTGAATTTCTGGGCTTGGACTAACATGAACAGACACTGTCCACTGGGTGTTGGCATCTGACTAGGGCTTTTGTGCACTGAAAGGGATGCTTACGGTTACTGGTGTTTTAAACAATAGTTATTAAAGCTGTACATTTAAATATCTAATTTGCCTCATGTCTTTAAGATCAGTTTATAAATCTTGTTATAGCTACAAACAAGTTGATTTTGTATATAGATAGAAATGCTTAATCTTTAACGTTCAATTAGTTCAAAACTTAATGAATTACAATGAAAAAATTGCTTGCACACTTAATCTAGTTTCCTTGGCCGTTTTAAACTGTTTAAATTACACATTTACACTGTTTGATTTGCACACACTTCCAATAATATGAAAGGCCTAAAATCTGATGAAATCTTCCTAAGCATTCAAATACTAACCTAAATCTACACTCATAAATTTAATACATTAAGGTCTTGAGGCTAAGGTGAGCGGATCACGAGGTCGGGAGATCGAGACCATCCTGGCTAACACGGTGAAACCCCGCCTCTACTAAAAATACAAAAAATTAGCCAGGTGTGGTAGCAGGTGCCTGTAATCCCAGCACTTTGGAGGCTGAGGCGGGTGGATTACTTGAGGTCGGCAGTTCGAGACCAGCCTGGACAATACGGTGAAACCCCGCCTCTACTACAAATACAAAAAAATTAGTCAGTGTAGTGG